CCATCCGAGTGCCGGCGGGGAAGTGGTTCATATAGCCTCGGCTATCACTTCCTTATGTCCGGTCGTGATGGTCAAGCGGATTAAGGCGTCCCTGTACATACCAGTTGTGGGAGTATGGGTTCGAGTCACTTCTGGGGTGTGAGTTTTCAGTTGTATATACCTTCCCCCTGCTTCCCCCTTCCCCCTGCTTCCCCCTTCCCCCTGCTTCCCCCTTCCCCCTGCTTCCCCCTTCCCCCTTCTTCTCCCCCTTCCCCCTGCTCCCCCCTTCACCCTGCTTCCCCCTTCACCCTGCTTCCCCCTCCCCCCTGCTTCCTCCTCCCCCCCCTGCTTCCCCCTACCCCTGCTTCCCCCTCCCCCCTGCTTCCCCCTCCCCCTGCTTCCCCCTCCCTCCTGCTTCCCCCTCCCTCCTGCTCCCCCTCCCCCCTGCTTGCCCCTCCCTCCTGCTTCTCCCTCCCCCCTGCTTCCCTTCCCTCCTGCTTCTCCCTCCCTCCTGCTTCCCCTTCCCTCCTGCTTCTCCCTCCCTCCTGCTTCCCTCCCTCCTGCTTCCCCCTCCCCCCTGCTTGCCCCTCCCGCCTGCTTGCCCCTCCCTCCTGCTTCCCTCCCTCCTGCTTCCCTCCCTCCTGCTTCCCTCCCTCCTGCTTCCCTCCCTCCTGCTTCCCTCCCTCCTGCTTCCCTCCCTCCTGCTTCCCTCCCTCCTGCTTCCCTCCCTCCTGCTTCCCCCTTCTTCCCCCTGCTCCCCCCTTCACCCTGCTTCCCCCTTCACCTTGCTTCCCCCTCCCCCCTGCTTCCCCCTCCCCCCTGCTTCCCCCTTCCCCCTGCTTCCCCCTCCCCCTGCTTCCCCCTTCCCCCTTCCCCCTGCTTCCCCCTTCCCCCTGATTCCCCCTTCCCCCTTCTTCCCCTTTCCCCCTGCTTCCTCCTCCCAACCTGCTTCCCCCTACCCCTGCTTCCCCCTCCCCCCTGCTTCCCCCTCCCTCCTGCTTCCCCCTCCTCCTGCTTCCCCCTCCCCCCTGCTTGCCCCTCCCGCCTGCTTGCCCCTCCCCCCTGCTTCCCTTCCCTCCTGCTTCTCCCTCCCTTGTGCTTCTCCCTCCCTCCTGCTTCCCCTTCCCCCCTGCTTCCTCCTCTCTCCTACTTCTCCCTCCCTCCTCCTTCCCCCTCCCCCTGCGTCCCCCTCCCCTCTGCTTTCCCCTTCCCCCTGCTGCCCCCTTCACCCTGCTTCCCCCTCCCCCTGCTTCCCCCTCCCTCCTGCTTCTCCCTCCCTCCTGCTTCTCCCTCCCTCCTGCTTCTCCCTCCCTCCTGCTTCTCCTTCCCTCCTGCTTCTCCCTCCCTCCTGCTTCTCCCTCCCTCCTGCTTCTCCCTCCCTCCTGCTTCTCCCTCCCTCCTGCTTCTCCTTCCCTCCTGCTTCTCCCTCCCTCCTGCTTCTCCCTCCCTCCTGCTTCTCCCTCCCTCCTGCTTCCCCCCTCCCTCCTGCTTCCCCCTCCCTCCTGCTTCCCCCTCCCTCCTGCTTTCTCCTCCCCCCTGCTTCCTCCTCTCTCCTGCTTCCCCCTCCCTCCTGCTTTCTCCTCCCCCCTGCTTCCTCCTCTCTCCTCCTTCCCCCTCCCCCTGCTACCCCCTCCCCCCTGCTTCCTGCTGCCCCCTACCCCTGCTTCCCCCTCCCCCCTGCTTCCCCCTCCCCCTGCTTCCCCCTCCCTCCTCCTTCCCCCTTCACCCTGCTTCCCCCTCCCCTTGCTCCCCCCTCCCCCCTGCTTCCTGCTGCCCCCTACCCCTGCTTTCTCCTCCCCCCTGCTTCCTCCTCTCTCCTGCTTCCCCCTCCCTCCTCCTTCCCCCTTCACCCTGCTTCCCCCTCCCCCCTGCTTCCTGCTGCACCCTACCCCTGCTTCCTGCTGCCCCCTACCCCTGCTTCCCCCTCCCCCCTGCTTCCCCCTCCCTCCTGCTTCCCCCTCCCTCCTGCCTCCCCTTCCCTCCTGCTTTCCCCCTCCCTCCTGCTTTCCCCTCCCTCCTGCTTCCCCCTCCCCCTGCTTCCCCCTCCCCCTCCCCCCCCCCCTGCTTCCCCCTCCCCCCTGCTTCCCCCTCCCCCCTGCTACCCCCTCCCCACTGCTTCCCCCCTCTCCCCCCTGCTACCCCCTCCCCACTGCTTCCCCCTCCCCCCCTGCTTCCCCCTACCCCTGCTTCCCCCTCCCCCTGCTTTCCCCTCTTCTCCTTCTCTCAGAAAATTAATTAAGCTCAGAAACAACTCCCAAGGGTCTCAGAAAATATATTATTACAATAATTTAAAACTTCAAAAACACCCAACATTTCAACCTGGTCCACGAAAATCACATGGGTGTCTACATGTTAATATTTCATCAGGTATTTACCATAGGCCTACCCCGACCAGCCTATGGGTGTCTCTTCTTCACCCACCATTTCCCCCTCTCTCTTCATGATCCGTCTTTCCTCCCCCTTTCCCCCCTCTTCCCACCCCCCTTTCCCACTTTTCCCTTTTCATCCAGTTTCTCTATTCTCCTTTTCTCTCCCCTCTTTTCCTCCCTTCTCTCTCCCCTCTACACCTTCTAGCGTCTAACCTCCAAAAGATAGACATTTTTATTTCTTTAGTTATCTCAGGGAAACTCGGCGGTGCCTGGGTGTCTGTCTTCCGTCTTTTCCCTGTCTCCTCACTCTGCTCTCTTCTCTTTCCCATTCCCATATTCTTTCCACTATTTCACCCTCTCTTCCCACGTCTCCGCTTGTCTCACCTCACCTCTCATCTTACCCCTACCTGTCTCCTCCTCTCCCCCTCATTTTCCCCTGACCCTTCTCTGCCCTGATCTTACGTATTCACTACATACTCTCTTCACTGTATAAACTATATTCATCGCTATAAACAACTTAATTAACTACTTCATCACTGTAACCCAAATAAATTTAGTTCATCGTTTTGAAGTTATTTTTTTTTATTATTAATATATGAGGTACATCTGCATTAGTGCAGCTACCCAAGACTATATGAAGTGGAGTACAGTGTGTCAAAAAAGCTAACTAGGTGATGCTAAGAAATCCCCATCACACAGGATGGTTAGTCATACAGGGCCATGTGTTTAATAGCCTGCACTGGCAAATTTTGGGTATACTGTGAGGATGTCTTCATGAATACGAGAGTGAATAAAGTAATTGCAAAGCTCCAGGTACCTCATGCCAACTGGTCTGAAAGGTCTAATAACTGGGCATTCAGTGATGTAGTGCAGGAGATCGTGCCGTAGTTCCTGCTCACAGAGTTTGCAACTGGAGTGCTCAGGATTGGGAGACCCGTCACCTGCTTTGAAGTTAATAATGAAAATGTGTTATAAACTCTATGGGAAACACGTTCTCTATTTCATTTCAGACTTCATGAAATCGCACGTTGGGAGGAGGATGTTACAAGCTGATATTTCATAAAGTATTTAACTCAGGTCTTAGGTCGTCCACGACCAGTCTATATCGGTCCCCAACCCTAGACCATTCCACTAGCAAGGTTGAGTGAGGCTAGCCCCAAGCATCTGACCTCTCACTTTAGACAAATAGACATGTTCTATTATAGTATATAATAGGATTATAGGATTATAGACATGTTCTATTATAGTATATAATAGGATTATAGACATGTTCTATTATAGTATATAATAGGATTACAGACATGTTCTATTATATTATATAATAGGATTATAGGATTATAGACATGTTCTATTATAGTATATAATAGGATTATAGACATGTTCTATTATAGTATATAATAGGATTATAGACATGTTCTATTATAGTATATAATAGGATTATAGGATACTATAGGATTTTGTGATAACTGGTGAAAATTAAGCATATAGGATTTTCCTTAAAATTCTTTAATATATTACCACTTTTCCAAGCATTTTTAAACTATTTCTCTACACGTTTGATTTCCATTGAAGCATTTTTCTTTAAATTTTTGTGGGTATCTCCAAACCGAAGTCTTTTATATTTTTGTTCAAACGTTATAAAATTCTCCTGCTTCCATTTTTACGGAAGGAGTGAGATTTCTTGTCGACAGCGGCATTTCTCATTCATCTCGTCGCCCGAAATACACCACGGAAGGATTTTTTCATGCACCTCATAGGCGGAGAATATTTAGACAGGAATGTTTTGTATGTTCTGGTGTAGAATGTCTAGTTAGTGTCACATCTAAAACATTGTGTCAGTGATACTGCTTACACTTTCACTTGAACTTCTTGCATCGTGTAAATGAAGAGGCTGCTGCCGTGTTAAATGAAGTTTTAGCTTAATATAATAAATCTCAGTTTAGCTCAATATAATATTGCTTCGAGGAGCGGAAAGTCATCATATGGAAAACGAATCTTCAGCCTACTATTACCCTTTGGGAAAAGTCGTGTGAATTCTGTTGCAGTAATCTTATTGAGATGTTTTGTTGTCAGCTTCATGTGCACTGAGGGCGAGCAGATGGTTCTGTGTGTGCATATGGGGTTCTATATCATCACAAATAGCGTTTTATTCTTATATAAATAAATCACTGATCAGCTAAAGTTTATAGTTCCAAAAAAGCTGAAGTTAATAGTTCCAAAAAAGCTGAAGTTAATAGGTCCAAAATCAACATGTAGTTATTAACTATCACATCACGTAAATAGTGTTATAAGTAGATAATACCTGATGTTGAAAAGATCATTAAAAGTGGACAACATATGTGTGGCCATACTGATCGACTAAGCAACGATTTGTAATTGGCTGCATAGTTGGATTATCGGTAAGTTGACCGATGGTAAATGACTAGTGTTGACCAGCAAGCCTCAGTACCTTCCCGTGTTGAGGCTTGCTGATTGGTAAATGTTCTCAGAGGACGAGCTGTAAATGACTGGTAGTAAATATTGCAGATACTTAAGTTGTCGATGGTAGGTAGTAAATCTAGTAGAAGACTGAGCTGGAAATTTATTTTTATTCAGCATTGTTTAAGTAGTTGATAGCGGAGAATATTACTACAATATATTTCTGACTTACAGATTAGAAAGGTCGAGTAACAACAAATGGGGCAAGATTATCTTAAGCTGCATCAGGGCAGCTTTAGGTGTTAACCAGTAAGTGAACACAAAGGGAATTAAATCCGAGCGGAAAATAATTAAAACTGGAATGTCTAAACGTAATCATTGAACCTCTATTATCAACTAAATATATCGACCATTTACATACAGCATCAAAGAGAAACTTTAGAAATTTGCTGGTGGTAGAAAAATTTCAGGAAATAATTGTGAATGTAACTGAATCAATATATACATTTAATATAGACGAAATATTTAAATGCAGTTCAATGCAGACAAATGTAGGGTTTTGATCCTCTTTAATGACAATAGAGTTAATAGATATCACCCGGACAATGCAGATATTGCTACATGTGAATAAGAGATCTCGTCGTCATAACTAGAAAAAATCTTAATTCAAGGTTACAGTGTTTAAGTGTACGTAAAAACAAATAGGATACTTGGATCCATAACAAGATGTGTTTGTAAGTATACATGTAATCTGTTTCTTGACTGTCATCTTTCCCTTGTTTGGGCCTATATATATTAGTTACGTTTCGGACACGACGCCATAAAATGGACACAAATTCTTTAGAAAATGTGTAGAAAAAGATGTAAAATATAAGCTTGGGAATATAAAACCCGAATTATAAATAGAGATTATGGAAATCTAATTGAAGTTCTCTAGAAAGGAAGATTAAATAATGGGAAATATGCTTAAGGTATGCAACCATTTGCATACTTCAATCATTTCTACACAACAGCCCCACTGTTACTACAGCTCAGCACACTGTTACTACAGCTCAGCACACTGTTACTACAGCTCAGCACACTGTTACTACAGCTCAGCACACTGTTACTACAGCTCAGCACACTGTTACTACAGCTCAGCACACTGTTACTACAGCTCAGCACACTGTTACTACAGCTCGGCACACTGTTACTACAGCTCGGCACACTGTTACTACAGCTCGGCACACTGTTACTACAGCTCGGCACACTGTTACTACAGCTCAGCACACTGTTACTACAGCTCGGCACACTGTTACTACAGCTCGGCACACTGTTACTACAGCTCGGCACACTGTTACTACAGCTCGGCACACTGTTACTACAGCTCGGCACACTGTTACTACAGCTCAGCACACTGTTACTACAGCTCGGCACACTGTTACTACAGCTCAGCACACTGTTACTACAGCTCGGCACACTGTTACTACAGCTCGGCACACTGTTACTACAGCTCAGCACACTGTTACTACAGCTCAGCACACTGTTACTACAGCTCGGCACACTGTTACTACAGCTCGGCACACTGTTACTACAGCTCAGCACACTGTTACTACAGCTCGGCACACTGTTACTACAGCTCGGCACACTGTTACTACAGCTCGGCACACTGTTACTACAGCTCGGCACACTGTTACTACAGCTCGGCACACTGTTACTATAGCTCAGCACACTGTTACTACAGCTCAGCACACTGTTACTACAGCTCGGCACACTGTTACTACAGCTCGGCACACTGTTACTACAGCACAGCACACTGTTACTACAGCACAGCACACTGTTACTACAGCACATCACACTGTTACTACAGCTCGGCACACTGTTACTACAGCTCGGCACACTGTTACTACAGCTCAGCACACTGTTACTACAGCTCGGCACACTGTTACTACAGCTCGGCACACTGTTACTACAGCTCAGCACACTGTTACTACAGCTCGGCACACTGTTACTACAGCTCGGCACACTGTTACTACAGCTCGGCACACTGTTACTACAGCTCAGCACACTGTTACTACAGCTCGGCACACTGTTACTACAGCTCGGCACACTGTTACTACAGCTCGGCACACTGTTACTACAGCTCGGCACACTGTTACTACAGCTCGGCACACTGTTACTACAGCTCGGCACACTGTTACTACAGCTCGGCACACTGTTACTATAGCTCAGCACACTGTTACTACAGCTCAGCACACTGTTACTACAGCTCGGCACACTGTTACTACAGCTCGGCACACTGTTACTACAGCACAGCACACTGTTACTACAGCACAGCACACTGTTACTACAGCACAGCACACTGTTACTACAGCTCGGCACACTGTTACAACAGCTCGGCACACTGTTACTACAGCTCGGCACACTGTTACTATAGCTCGGCACACTGTTACTACAGCTCGGCACACTGTTACTACAGCTCGGCACACTGTTACTACAGCTCGGCACACTGTTACTACAGTTCAGCACACTGTTACTACAGCTCAGCACACTGTTACTACAGCTCAGCATACTGTTACTACAGCTGGGCACACTGTTACTTCAACTCGGCACACTGTTATTACAGCTCGGCACACTGTTACTACAGCTCAGCACACTGTTACTACATCTCAACACACTGTTACCACAGCACAGTACACTGTTACCACTGTGTCCTGTAATCTTTTCCTTGGACCCCTTCTCCTCTCCTTTACCTTGTGACTCCCTCTGGCTCTGACAGAGCGTAGATTATCGCCTTACACTTTTCGTATCCTACTGGCTTTTTACTGTGTCTATTACTATTGCTTTAATGATGAGCTTTCCCTCTGATCGATTACCTACTTCAGCAAATGTTTTGTCTGGGCTCTTTCACATTTATCAGTCACATTCTACATGTTTTTTATTGTCTTTCTTGCCTTAGTGTCTTGGTGTATTGAGGCTGAGATTTCAATTATGGATTCTATTTCCTGTGATAGTTTAACAATGTTAATGCTGTTTTTTTCGTCCATTGTGGTCAGATGTGATGAGGTCAGCTCTTTTCTCTCCCGAGGTGTGGTCATCTCTGACGTGGCTCAAATTCTCTAATCCAGTTGGGCCGAGTCTCAGTTGCTCATAATTTGCACTCAGAAAATCCCAAACACTGTGATTGTTATCATTTCTGACACTACTACTTCATGGAATCCGAAATCTAATCTCCCGATAATAACTGTTGTTCCCAACTCGCCTCAGTTGTATGCAACGCTGATCGCGTTCATTGTGTTACTGCATCAAAAACAGAATCCTGATGATGACGAGGGCAAATTGGAGTCGTAAAGGTTGAAGAATATCAGGTAGTGGGAAGATCTTAAATAGATTCCTAAAGCATTTCTTTTGGGAGAGAGGAAAAGAAAATGTCACGGAAAACTTTTAAACATATCTAGAATTGTAATGCTTTGCTAAGCTCCACAGAACTATTCCACAGGTATCCGTTGTTCATATTATTTATTTTTCTCAGTCATTCAATAATATTTGTTGAAAATGTGGGAACATTAGTAAGGACATACGATGGACATTTTTAATTAATGACGATCATGTGTGCTTGAAAACGGGTCTTGAAGATATGCTTCTTCAGCAAATGAATCTACGAACAATAACCCAGTAGATACTGCACTTCAATCTATATGGTACTGAGGGCAATATAATTTTTAGGAGCAATAATTTCATATGTTTTTGAAAATGTTGGACTGTGACATGAAGCAAAAATGAGCAATGCCTTTGCACCATCAATATCCATGGAACTCATTTATACCCCTGGTCAGGTGGCATTGCCTTAGGACCTCCCTGGTACAAACCAGGGAGGTTATACATACCCAGGCCAGGTGGCACGACCTTAGGACCACCAATATCCATGGTGCTCATATATACCCAGGCCAGGTGGCATGACCATGGTACTACCAATACCCAGGGAGGTCATACATACCCTGACCAGGTGGCATGATTGCAAGTTACAAAAGTCCATATAAGAGAATAAAGAGTTATAACTACTTCTATCCATCCATGGGAAGCTCTTGTGAGTCTTGACTCCAAAGACTGCGAGGACTGATCGTCTTTACCTGATAACTACTTGCATTTGCCTCAAACACTGGGTCAGGAATGTCTGATAAATGTATTTTCTACTGGTTATTGCGCAATCTGTTTATGTCCCATAATATGCTTAGCTAGAATATCAAGTAGATTTATTAGAGGGAATTTTTTATTGTAAAATTTATATATTTGTATTTACTGCTAGCAGTTATCAATATAATAGTAAGTCAGTGCTAATTATGACACGAGCTATACATGCAAAACTCAAGAGGAAGGGATATTAATGCAGTATACAAGTTTAGAATTGTATAATATACAAGCATGTACGTAGAAAAGAATTGGGTAAGACAACGCAATAAGAGGAAGCGGAGCGTTTTAAGTTTTATGTCTTTAGTTGACCTTTATCACAATAGTAATATCACTGCATTGTTACTATTCCCTTGAGCAGAGATATGCAGCACGTAATTGCGCAGGATGTCACGTATAAAAACAAGGGTAAATAAACTTCACACAAATAGTTTAACCAGAGGCAAGGCAACGTGCTGCAAAGGGCCTGCCTGCGGAGAGTTAATACATGAAGAGGTCAGTGCAGGCAAGGATTACTCTCACATAAATTTACACTTGATAGATACTTCGCCTTGAAACAGTACAACTCAAATTATGCACTGATTTACCCTAACTGTAAAACAGTCAGTGTAAATTCACATAAATGCAATGTGAACAGAAGAGGCACTTTGCCGTCAATAAATTATTCTCTGCTAACGCGTGTGAACCACTCAGTGTAACGCAGGTGGGCCGTGATAGGTGCAAGCTGCAGCCTTTGAAGCTATAAATAACCTCCCGTTGAACCACTTCAGCCCACTTGCAGGTTGTGAGGAATGTTTCTGGCACTGGATTTAAAACTCTTACTTTCACTCAAATTTCGCTGTAGGAAAAGAACTCACGTCCTGTTGCTTAATGCCTTTTGAGGGTGATTATCTACGTCTTCTTTAAACGATTCTTCTCTGTTCCAGACACTATTTTACAGGGAATATTATAGGTGCTGAATCGCAGGATTGTATAAACGTTGGTTAGATATAATATTGAGTTAAGTTACATATAAATGAAAGCTTCCATTTAAGGGCCAACAGGCCTTCTTCAGTTTCTTCTATTCTAGTGTCCTTATGTCACAGATGGAGACGAAACTCTTTGAGCCCTGTTGCTTTCTGGATGCACATCCAAAAGTCTTCCATTTCTACCATTTCCACTTACATCGAGGACGTCCACATCTAAGCTATTGCGAATCAGTATCTGGATTGTTCAGCATGTCATCGGTCTTCATAAACCGACCATTACTGTTTCTATCCACAGCAGCATCCTGCATGTGTTCTTCCTGCAACTGACGAAACTAAAGATAAGGTTAGTTATCTATCAGGTCATTACTATTAATCGTGGCAGAAAAGTCTACTCTTCTGTGTTAAGATTCACGTTACTTAGGTCGGAAGTTACAGGTAATCGAATTATGTCACTGTCACTCATTATCGGTTGAAAGTCACATGATGGCACCAGATAAGTTTTTAGCAGTCTCTCAGAGCCGCGTTTCGTAGAGTACACATGGACTAGTAACAAAGTAGAAACTGTTCAAAGATGTACAAAATGAGAAGATGCACAACACGAAACAATGTGTATAAATTGGATAAGTTTAGATTTAGGTAAATCTAAGACCTGGGTAAATACTGATTCGGTAACAGAGTTGTTGATTTGTGGAACCAGTTACCTCGTAACGTAATAGAAGTTGGATCCCTTGATTGTTTCAAGCGTAGGTTAAACATGTATACATGAATGAGATTGGGTGGTTATAAATAGGAGCTGCCTCGTATGGGCCTTCTGCAGTTACCTCTATTCTTATGTTCTTAGTAATGGAAATACAAAACATTTCACTAAAAATCCCAATAAAATATTCTACCACTAATGTAATGTTATCGGAATTAAAACTATGTGATCAAATATGGTAGATAGAATCCACACCACTCGCAGAGCAGCTGACGTGAACACTCAGAGCCAAGATGTTCCGAAAAACATACAAATTCCCCCTAGGAAATCGTGTGGCCTATGTCTCTATGCATTACAATGTGTCAACTATTACAGTTTCAGAGCATTTCTTGCCTCATAACCAGAATATATTCCTATTTAAGATTCCACGTTACTCAACTGTTCTGTCAATACCTCCATAATGAACCAACTCCCAACATTCACGTCGAATTGGCGCAACGCCTTGTCATGACTCCGTAACTAATATTTTCTTCAATATCTAACAGAGTAGAAACTGTTCAAAGATGTACAAGAAGAGAAGATGCACAACAGCTTTCGCTGTACCGGAGCCCCTTGTCCTAGTTCAACATACTGTCACGGGGGGTGGGCCGGGGCTCCGCTAGCACTCGGCTGCTAGGGGCTCAGAAGGCAGAATACACAGCCCCTCTGACTCCCGGGATTCACCGGAGTCTCCTTGGTCCCACAGGAGAGGACCAGCAATGCCCACCACCGCAGGTCTTTGCTTCCACCACTGAAGGGGGTGCCACTGATTCACCCTGGAAGCCCTTCAGTCAACCACGGGGAAACTGCTATCAGCAGTTCCGGCCTAGACCCGTGGAGGAGTGAAGGAAGACTCAGGCTTACCTTATAACAATAAATTCCCTTGAGTCTTGCCTGCCAGACAAAAAGGTTGCAGGAACTCCTTTCCCGCCTGTCTTCTCTATCTTATTCTTAACAAGGTCGCCAGCTGGGTTAGTATATCTGCACCCCAGCGATGCAGTTCAGTGGGTGTATTCTATACTGTTTGTTGCCAGAGTGTTGCTACTCCCATAGATCTGTTATTGGACTGTCGGCCCAGGGTACTCTCCCATAAAAGTCTGTGTGGCTTTACCTCTCTCCAGCCACTACGTTATCTGGTGCCAACAGTCAGGCTCTGATACTAGCCGGATGGCTAAGGGTACACTCTTATATAAGTCTGTGCTGCTTTACCACTCTCCAGGCGATAAGAACTTCTATAGAGAACGCGACGTTCCCTAGGTGGTACTATGATAACCCTCGTGTATGCTCATAGAGAAATATTATAATGGAGGCACACTTAAACACAATGGCAAAATGTGTGAATTTACTGACACAATTACATGATCGAACATACAATCACAACCCTGGAAACACAAACCGAAACTGTCTCTATTTTCCGCTTGTTACAACTTGAAATAAAGTTGTTACATCTTGGCTTAACGTGTTTATGACGTATTAGAACGTTGTTACAACTTGCTATATTGGTTGTTATAACTGGTTAGGAAGTGTTAAAACTTGCTCGAACGTTGTACCAACGTCGTAGTTTCGGTGTGTGTTTGGTGGGAAGCAATACATGAAAATGAAAATAAGGATAATAAATCTGGAGATCTTCTGCAACTCTTCTTTCACGACCTCCAACCACTCCTTCAACTGGGCAGATAAGACAGGAGTCACACACTCTCTCACAGAGGAGCCTCTTCACCACGTCGGCACCTCTTCTTCAGCTGTCCTGCCGTCCACACACACTGTCCTCTCCAACAGTCCTGGACACAAGCTGCCTTGTAGCCTATTCTACTACTAAAGTATTAATGTCATACTGCCACATGCATAAGTAAATATCGTGGCCTATC